TCTTCATCGCAGCAAGGTTGGTGGGCCGCTGGAGAACCACATCAATGTTGTTCAGCTCAGATATGGTGCTGGAACAGGCGTTGCACTTCTGGGATGAGGCCCCAACCACATTTGCCACAACCTTGGCATCGACCATGGTGCAAACCACCTCATGCGTGACGCAGCAGTCTTTGTCAGCGCATTGGACGGAAGATGGGGTTAGCGCCATGATCTCTGACTCCACTGAGGACATGCAGTCTCTTGTAAACTCAGCAGTCTCCTTCTGGTACATTATACGCAGTGGCCGGCAGTAACGCCCAGACGCTGGGACAGGATTTCTCCAGATGATTTTCCCACCTGTCTCAAGCTGGAGAGGAACGAGACTCATGAAGAAAACGCAGGCATCACTCTGCAGTGCTTGATTTTCTTTATCTTGTGAAAAATTATTATATGAGCTTGATCCGTCTCCGCCATACTTGCTGATAAGCTTCAGCGTCTGGGCGTCTTCTGCAGGGAGCTGTTGCAGAACCGGCTCCTGCACCTGAAGGAGCCTCTTAGTAGTGTGGTCCAAGAGGCCCTGGAGGGTGATTGTAGCGCTCTCTTCTGTGATGCTGATGCAATCTTCCGGTGGGTAGGTAGATTTCTTCACTAATGCCACATCAGCGTACGGGGGAATTATTTCCGCGCCACTCTTAACGGCCAAGTTCCGCACTGCTTGATACTGTTCTTTAGAAAAGCCACTATCTGACACGAGAAGTGTTGCTTCTTCTGTTGGTATCCGCTTAGGGGGGTCGGTAGTGCACCGTTTTAAGAGATCTGCTGACTCTTCAGGAGAAGTCTCAGATAGTCGCAGGATGAGCTGAGATGCAGAATGGTTTCCCATGTCGCGCATCTTGCTCGCAAGTGCCTCCGCAAGTTCAAGAAGAGAGTACTGTTCCTTGATTTTGGCGACAGCTCTTCGTTTGGATCTGTCGCTGCTCTCCCCAAAAGGCTTCGGTTTGGCTCCAGCTGAGCGCTTTACTGTGGAAGGTTTTGGCGGTGCAGGAGTAAACCAGGATGCAGTTTTCACTGTTTTCAGCCATTCTTTGTTGGTTTGAATGAATCTGTCTTCTATTCTTCTTGCTTCCCGCCACTTTTCTTCCACAGACTGATGAAATCTATGTGCTGCAGATTTGACTGCGTCGACGGTCAGGTTGAATCGTTGTGCTAAACCAGCTTCTAAATGTGATGAATCCTGAAAAGATGAAGAGCCTATAGGGCGCAACAGGCGAAACATTTCTTCATATGTAATTTCCGCCATTGCAAATTGTAAGCAGAAAATCCAATCAAAAACACAATTTGATACTAATTTTTTTTATTGAAATCCTAAGTTTACAAAACACCTAGCATAAGTACAAAAAATTGGTTTGTGAAAACTAAAAACTAAGTTATAGTGAAACCTAAAATGAAAAAAGGGCAAACCAAGATATATTTGAGCTCAAAATCACATATTTAGACACACTTGGTGCTTGCAATTCTGGCTCAAATAATTCCTAATCAAAGTTCTGTCAGAAACAAATTATTTGAGCTCAAAATCGTTTTTATAGGCACACTCAGTGCTTACGATTTGAGCTCAAATAATTCCTAATCAAAGTTCTGCCAGAATCAAATTATTTGAGCTCAAAATCGTTTTTATAGGCACACTCAGTGCTTACGATTTGAGCTCAAATAATTGCTAATCGAATTTCTGTCAGAAACAAATTATTTGAGCTCAAAATCGTTTTTATAGACACTCTCGGTGCTTACGATTTGAGCTCAAATAATTCCTAATCTACGTTCTGCCAGAAACAAATTATTTGAGCTCAAAATCGTTTTAAAAGGCACAATCGGTGCTTACGGTTTGAGCTCAAATAATTGCTAATCGAATTTCTGCCAGAAACAAATTATTTGAGCTCAAAATCGTATTTTTACACACTTATGGTGCATACTATTTGAGCTCAAATAAGTCCTAACAAAAAATTGGTCGGCCGCTACCTATTTTTGTTTCAAAATCAAGTTTTGTACTAAAAAAGTGGTGCTCATTGGGCACGCCGTGAGGTCGACGTCGACGTCCTTCCATGTCCGCTATGACGACCCTCGTGTTTGAGCTGGCCATCGAGACCTTGACCAACATAAAACGGCCCTGAAGACCGATTTTTCCTATGGCCACCAATTTCCGATAGATACGAGGACGTACCACGAGGTCGCCGACGAGGCCGACGAGGAAGTCGTACAATGTTTGGAGGCCAAAGAGGCCATGCCCGTGAACCCCTTTGGTGTCCGGGACTTTTGATGACGGTATTCTCATCGTGGGTTCTTGCGCTCTCAGGAACTGGGTGTTGGCCAAGATCTGCGCAACCGTTTGTCCAGGATGGGGACGAACACAAAAAAACACTTCAAATCGACCCACATCGAGATGTTCATCGCCATCCTGGACAAACGGCTGCGCAGATCTTGGCCAGCATCCAGTTCCTGAGAGCTCAAGAACCCGCGAAGAGAATTCCGTCATCAAAAGTCCCGGACACCAAAGGGGGTCGCCGTTCGCCGTGACGGCCTCTTTGGCCTCCAAACATTGTAAGACTTCCTCGTGGGCCTCGACGGCGACCTCGTGGTACGTCCTCGTATCTCGGAAACTGGTGGCCGCAGGAAAAAACGGTTTTCATGGCCGTTTTATGTGGGTCCTGACGGTCTCGATGGCCAGCTCAAACACAGGGATCATCATGGCGGACACGGAAGGACGTCGTCGGCGACCTCTCAAGGTGCCCCATGACGTTATAAATGCGGACGCAATAATGAATACAACCTCAGTTTCTTAATTATTTTTTGAAGTCTTTTTTTTTATTGCAGAAATAAAAGCTTAGTCAATTCTTGCGATTTACCCTTAATTGGCTCTACAAAGTCGCACGGCATTCAAAATGGAGCACTTTGGAGCAAGATTTCTCTTTTGCTACTTGTAGTCGACATATTGGTGCGTGATCTCCCGCAAACCGTTTCACCGTGAACCGCCGTTAAATTTAGTTATAGTCAATTCAATATATCTTGTCGATTTTTATGAAATTAATGCAATGTTTTACTTAAATCGACTTTGTGAGGCGACCTTTGTGGCTACAGACGTTTTTCTTACGCCAAATTGTTCAGGAAGAAACGGACTTTAAATGGTCTAAGCCGCTTTTTATCTGGGAAGGTGCAAACAGGTCATAGACAGTGCCTAAATAAAGCAATTTTTGCTAACTTTTCACAAAATTTTCGTTTAATTATTTATTCCTTTTCCGACGGAACTGGAAGCTCTATGGGTCGGTTCCGACCCGAAATATTTTGAATATTGATGTTTTGGGATGTTAACATTGCACGCAGGCTGTTATGAGAGGCCTGGGCCACGTTTCATTTTAGGGTATTTTGGCCACGTTTTCGGGTTTCTATCCCACTGTGCGGCGGTGGCGGTGCGCCTGCGGAGGCGAGGGTAGGCCACCCATCGAACTGATATGTGTTGAGATGAACTCTGTACCTGCAATGGATTTGAGGCGTCACTGCCCACTGCAGCCTTCAAGCCAGTTAAATTTATAACCCTCTCATGAAGGTCAGAAAGTCGTAATGCCACAATCCATCCCCCCCCCCCGCAAGGCCCATTACTTCCAGTTCTTTTGAGTTATCAGTTCCCCACAAAAAAACTACTTTCAGTTTTTAAAAAAATCACAATTTTCAGAGGATACGTTCCTGTCCCTTGTATGTAAAATCATTTGTCGTCTCACAAGTCCTATGTCAATCCGAGGTCCAAACCAATTTTTTTCAATGAACTTTTTATTCTCTTTTAGAATATACAACAGCCAAATGTCTCAGACTTTAACTGGGCCTTCATTTTAACAATTCACATTTTTTTTTTAATTCTGTAATTTTCCTTCAAAATGGGTGTGTTTCACGGTAGCCCTTTGGTGATACCTGGAGGTCTGAATTTTTTTGTGGACTCTCTACCTTTATCCCTATAGACCCACAAAGTTTCAGCCCAATCGGAGGTACCAAAGGGTTGGCAGTTCGTTGACTTGAGAAATAATGACTCAATTTCATACACTGAAAACGTAATGGTCGGACACATGGCCAAATTATGGGGTGACAAAAAGTCACGCCAAAAATTGGCGTGATACGAAATTCACGCCGAAAAACGGCGTGACATGTGATCACGCCAAACAGCGTGACTTGTGAGTAACGCCATCATTTGGCGTGAATGACAACGCGTTTTAGGAGACAAGTCACGTCAAAAAGCGGCATGACAAGAAATTCACGTCAAAAATTGGCGTGAATTTTTGAGTCACGCCGATTTTTGGCGTGACTTTTTGTCATGCCGTTCAAAGGCGCGACACTTGATTCACGCCCCTGCAGCGGCACGAAGTCACGCCGATAGATTTTCAGTGCTCTGAGAATCCAAACGCTATGAGTATAGCGTCAATTGGTGCAATGCAAAATCATTGCACATGAAGTGCAATGCCTCCCCTTTCCCATGCAAAAGCATACGGCATTTTCGGAAAGCATTGCACGTATGGTGCGATATGGCTCTGGCATTGCACGTGTGGTGCGATATCTCAGCGCATTGCACCATACGTGCTATACTCATAGCGTTTGGAATCTCAGTGTGTATAAGCATTTAACCCTGAAACGGCTAGTGAGCCAGCCGGGTCGGCCGTTTAAGTCTCTTTTCACACTGTTGCTTCCGTGATAACGTAACTTCCGTGATCAAAACACCCGTTACAACGTATGTGAATACCTGAAGGCTCATGCTTTTAGGAAGGTAGTGGCCTTTCCTATAAATACCATTGCCATAGCTCTCGTATCATTCAGGACCCCAGTAATCAGGAACTTAAATTGATGTTCATTACTTTCAACAAATTAGAAACGTCAAAACTACCCCGAAACGTAAGGATCGCTCACCTATCATTTATATGGTCCTGGCGAAGACCGTGAAGACGCGTGTAGTACTGTTAAGGATAACGATTGGGATGCAATAGAGCAACTTGTCTCGAAACTAAACTTTATTAGTTACATTTAAGTACATCGTGACTCAAGATTGTTTCTTTTTGTCTCTTTTAGTTTGTCTCTCCTTCCTCTGGCAGTTGGCATAAGGTTGTAAGTCCGTTGTCATCAGTAAACAAATAGAAGGATCCGGGTTCCCTGTGGAAAGGACAAAAATTTAATCTTGTGTTGCAAGTGCCTTTGACTTACTATTTGACTTCGTATTCGATATGTTTGACAACTTACTTAAAGGAGACTTTATCACCCATGCATGCGTCCGCTTGGTCTGTGCATTTCCCATCCATAGCATTTAAGTCGGTTTTGCAGTAGACCGCTTGGTATGTTTGGCCTGTTGTTACTGTCTTGGCGAAGTACTTGTGCGACATGCCATGAGAGCAAGTACCTAAGGAAGAAGAAAATGAGGTTATGGGTGGTTATGCGATAGCGCCATTAATTAACAATCTGGCTTTCGCTTTGTACACTGTAAGGTAAAAAATCAATTGTGGGTCACATTTTTGAAAATTCCAAATTAAGGCCTTTAATTCTGACCTGGTGACAAAAGTGCATGTGCGGCCTTTAACTATGGTCCTTGGACTAAGTTTTGCAGCATAGTAGCCCTGTCTGTCATCCTTATTTACTAAGCTGTGGCTGTTTTAAAAATAGTCTGTTTTGGCCCACAATTGATTTTTGGAACCAGTTGTGGGTCAGCATTGTAGGAAGCTCAAATTTGGATATGATTTGCTTAAATGCGAGAGAAATTCACTTCTGAATTTGTTTTTCGGAATCGTGAAAACTGCAGGATATATATGTAGGACAATGAATCAATTGTGGGTCACATCAATTGTGGGCCATTTCGTCTTTTTGCTTGTAAATTGACCACTTTTGCAAGATATTTTCTTATTTTCATTAATTAAAGGTCCCTGGTTCTCAATAAACCAAGCAGACACGTTTTTCACTCAAAAAGGAAAAATACATAAACAGGCTAATTTCACTGTGAGACAGATGTGAGTTTAACGTCCTGGATTAGAGACGAAACTTTTATAGTGCATATTGTAGGGCCGTCGGTGTGGTAGACAATCCAACACAACACCCTGTCATCATGAGGTATTGCTACAGTTTATTATCTATTTCAGTCAGAATATATAGTCTGTAGGGATTGATTTGACTCCTTATAACAGGGCCGGACTGGCCTCGGGTGCCTAGCCCGCAGTTGGAGAGCGGTTCCCTTCCGGGAGCTATGTAAGCCCCGAAATGCCCCCCCCCCCTCCCCAACAAAAAAGCCTGATGGCAGACTGGAAGTAAGAGCTAGCGTTGTCATTCGGGGCTGTAGCTTAACATAACCTTCGTATCGTAATACTAAATGTGACAGAGCAGAAAAATGGAATTTACTGGGATACATCAGTCATTCAGAAGCGCAGCAAACAAAAAATAGCAGAAAAACTACCGGAAAATTTGTTTAAAATAATGGATCTGACATGGAAGCGAACGCTTCTTTGCCATCACCCGCGCACCATGGCATCGAACGATTTCGGCTGCACTATGGTAAATTTATGTTCCCTGACCTACTATGAACCTAAATCAGCAAGGGCGTCCCGTTTTATCTCGTAATTAGCTTCACGGTGGCAATTTGAAAAACAAACGATTTTTCGCCTCGTTGGATGGGCGCCATTTTCTCGACATTTTGAAGGGCCTTCCTTTGAAGCCTAATAGGAGCCGTTACAGTCGTCGCTTGGACATACACGCTATTTGGGAAGACAAAGGAAGGTTGAAGGAAGGTCTACCGCGAAATTCAAATCGATTCAATCTCCGTCGGGTCTGCGGTGACCCGTCGAAAAAAATGACCCACAATTGATTCGTGACCCACAATTGATTTTTTACCTTACAAAAGGTCCCCGGATATACGAAACCCAGCTCTGATGAAGCATGAGAGCAGGGCGCCCTGCTCTACAAATCAAAGAGTGTACATAGTATGCTCTAACTGGAGCATGCCTGCAAGCACGCTCTAGCTAGCGCATGCCTGCCAAGCATGCACTAACTGGTGCATACACGCCATGTACACGCTTCCTGATGCAGAAAACTCCCTATCCCTTATGCAGTAAATGTATGCTTCAGTTAGCGTGTACATGGCATGTATGCACTAGTTAGCGCATGCTTGGCAGGCATGCGCTAGCTAGAGCGTGCTTGCAGGCATGCTCCAGTTAGAGCATACCATGTACACTCTTTGATTTGTAGAGTGGAGAAGAAGCCAAGAGCCACCCATGCACCGCACGCACCGCATCGGCCGACGGGGGACCAGCTACAGGGCGCAAAGAGCTAAAGTTTCCACGGCGCCATGGATAAAGTATTGTGATGCAATGAATGTCACGTCGTAATAGAACAGGAATTGTGTCACGTTGGTTTAAACCTTTCACATTCGTTTGATCGTTGGTAGTCCACGTTCATACGAATGTAACGACCGTGATGTCGTATTCAAACGAACGTGACCGAACCAACATTCTTTCGAAAACCCTCATTCATACTAAGTGCAAAAACCACTGTATATTTTGCAATAAAAAAAAACTTGCCTCCATAATGGATTTTTAAAATTTTGCAATAAAAGCATCACAGCAAATTTTGCATCAAAAGTATTACTTTGTGGCAATAATGCGTTCAAAGAAAATGCAGTGAAAAGTTATTGCGAGAAAAGTACGACAGAGGGCTCTACCATCTGATCGTAGGAGTCGCAAACTCGGTTTGATCGCAAAAAAAGTAGTAAAAGTATTGCAAGTTGAACGACAGTGCAGCCACTGAGAATGAAAGAATCATGATCATGACTAAAATTTTGGGCGAGGAGTTCTTTATCACCCAAATTTGGGTGAGGAAGGTATCCTTGCCCAATTTGGGTGAGGAAGGTATCCTTGCCCAATTTGGGTGAGGAAGGTTTCCTTATCCAAATTTGGGTGATAAAATATACCAAGCCCAAAATTGGGTATTGATCATGACTTTTTCATTCTCAGTGACGTCGGGTACATTGAATAACAGTGAACCTACCTCCAACGTCCAAGCCACATCCCGGCTGGTGGCTACCGCCGTTGGGGAAAAAGTCGACGGTGCCGAGGGCCCAAGAGAAACCCAGGTCGCCGGCACAGGTGTGGATGACGTCCACCAAGTCCGCGTCCTCCTTGTCCAGACGGCCGCTGGCGGGGGTCACGAAGAACAGCGGCCACGCCGGGTCCAGTCCTGTGAAGCGGCGGAACGTACCGGGGACGTTAGTTTGATGAAGAGCGGTTGAGCGCACGCTTGACGAAGATTCGAGGAGGAGGCGGAATGCCACATGCTCAGTGTTGAGTGTTACATGCCGGTATGCTTAATCCTGAAGCATATATGTTCACACTCTAAGAGATCGTCTCTTGACACTCTCAATCCAGAAACGTGACATCACCACTGACAATATAGAAAGGTCAGACTTTTGACCGCTTAAACGGTCTTACTGAAATCTACGACCAAAAAAGGGTCATACTGAAATGTAAGACCGAAAATAGGTCATACTTCGATGTATGACCGAAAAACGGTCATACTTTATAGTGTATCACGGGTAAAGGCTGATATATCCCCAAGCTAAACAATAGCCAGTCTCGCTGATGTCTCACCGTTTTTTGGTCATACACACTCTTAAAACCTTACGAAGTATTTTGAGCATACATATAACAAACTAAAATACTTTGTTATACGAAGAAATAGTTCGTAAATTACGAAGTATTTTCTTTGTAAGCTTACGTATGCTCAAAATACTTTGTTATACAAACTACTTTCCTTTGTAAGGTCCAAAATAGTTTGTAAGGTTTTCTCAGTGCACTTAAGTATGACCTTTACCTTTTGTATCACCGAAAATCGGTCAGATATCTCACCCTTTGAATTTCAGTGACGTTAAAACAAACAAGAGAATTTTTGGCCGATTCACATCCAAACTGGGACAGGACGTGGCACAACGTCACGTTCGTTTCAACGTGATGTCACGTGCTTGGAATGAGAGTGAAGTGAATCTACTTTAGTGTTTCAAGTCATTGGCATGAATTCACGTATTACAAGTAGATTTTCTTGGTCCAAGTAAGGATTTTCTAGGGGTCCTCAAGGCAACTCAACCAGTTCTCTCATCCTTCAAGCGACATGCTATCGATATTCTTTTACGCTTTTCTACATCAATAGTACTTTGTTCAGAAGCTTAAAAGAGTTGTCAAGGCGAAATCCAAAATAATGTTTCTAAAATGAACTGTTTGCACGCTCTCAAATGCGCGCACGTGTCAACACGCCTCACCCTCAGACTCGTATTGACTTTTTATCCTTTGCTTACGTAGTTTTTTAAGCAGCAGTAATGTGTAGTATTTTCCTTGTAACCATGAACAATATTCTTCACAATAAAGACTTAATTGTCA